AATCGGTGATGCAGCGCAAGTCTGCTAGTGGAGTGATGACTCGTCACTTTCTCATTATTATTCAGTGCAAAATTTTCTTATCCTATGAGAAGACCCTGCTTCTTTATTATTCTTGAGAGCATGTGCTTTCCGATGGCAAGACAGACTTGCTAAGCTGTAAGACCCAATGACGGGATGAGACCACGCTTGCGAACAGTACAAAGTATTTAGTCATAAAAGAAGGATTGTATGTGTTTGTTTCCATGATTCACGGATTTGTCGCATGTTTTTCCCCGTGATGCTTTCAGGGACGATAAGCTGTTGTTTTTTTTGTCAGGAGAGCAGTACGAGCAGTATGAGAATTTGAGAATGGTGGACTTTTATCAGTTGAGTTTGTTACCATTTAGACACACAGCCTTTATCCGTACTGCTGTGTTCGCCTATTTTTAAAAATCTCCAGATTAATGACCCTGGAACAACATTACAATCAGCCAATCAAAATAAGGGATATGTTTACCTTTTATGTAAAGTTGCGGTTACGTTTATGGACTTCTTTGCGATTGTTTACCAACTATTATTCCCCTCTGATTTTGGGAGTGAATTATAGTTATGGTTTTAGGGGTAGGGATTGGGTGTAGATTACATTTTCCAATAAAAAGGATGTCTCAGGATCAACATAGATGTTAATCTAGGATTATTAATTTATAATTTTTTTTAACAAAATTAAATGGATTAAACATAAAACAATAAGTTGCTCCCAAAAAACCTTAAGAATTGTGTTGTTTCAGCTTATTTTTAGTAAGTTTTTGGTCAGGTTTGGTTGTATTATTTTTATGTTATTGTATTAACTATAATGAACAATGCATTTATTATATATTCATCTTGGTTAATGTTACATGAAAATAAAGTTTTTCATTGTTAACCTACGGTGTGTTAACCAATGATAACAAGCATCAATTTGTAATTTAATAATTCATTAGTAAATATACATCGTTTAATAAATTCAGTATTATTAGTATTATTCATTAAGTTCTACTTAATTGCTAGAACTAAATTACATTATTAGTTCATGTAATTAAATACATTAATAGAAACATTTTAAAGTTTGCCCTTTTAAGTTGTAAATCAAAGTGCACGTAATAAATCTGCAGTCCTGAAAAAAACAAACAAAGAACAAAACAAACTGCAGTTCTGGTTTTGAAATGATTATTGTAATGGTGGACTAATAATAAAAACCACACTACCAAAAAGCAAGCGTTCAGAATGAAATGATAAAAGCATTTACCATGGGTTGTTCTCTCAGAGCCTCCAGCAGCCACGGCCATTTCAAAATCCATACGTCAGTCAATGAGCAGAATATAATGTCAGAGAGCATGACACATCCATATATCTATCCTCTGTGTCTAGTATCGATTCTGTGGTCAGTAATGTTTAACTGAATTTTCCAGGCCTCTTCTCCATCCCAGCGCAGTCAGTATATCATACTTAATAATTATTGGCACAAATCAGTTTAGCCCAGGTGAGCGGCTGAAAATTGCAGCGTCCACAGTGCGTTATTTTCCTCTAGGCTTGCACAAAATATAATAATTTGCCATTTATTCAGCTTTTCTTTTTCCCGATATTACACAGCATGGCTTTTGCACTTCACATCGCACACAACTTGCCACCGTTAACTCTTTGGCTCGTGAAATGCATCAGTAGATTTGAGAGTTAGATGCTTGCCATTTGAATTTTGCAAGATGTTATTTACCGACATTTGATTCGAGTGTTTTGGCTGTCGAGCACATTCTGAATGTCACCCAACCTCCGAAAATGCCTCTTTCATGTTGCCCTGGAAGTGTCAGCTGTCAGATGTGTCTCCAGCTGAGTTCCCTTTCAAGGCCATTTGAGGTCACATGAGCTGCTTTTACAGCACTCACTTTATTTTATCGTAACTTTGCGCGCCACCTTTGTAGTGCAACTCATTAAGTTCATGCCGAGCTGAAACAGCAGCTATCGTGTCAGTCTTGTGATGAGACTGAATGATGCCCATATATCCTGTGAGACATAGTTAGGATGTATGTAGTCTAATATCTCAGAATTAACAATTACACTCGTGTCGGCGGCAGAAAAATGGTCCAAGAGTCTTTTGAAGATGAGCGGGTTCCCTGCAGAGATTTATAACGCGAGTGACTGAAGTATCGTACATGATCTGATGCTTCTGCGCTCACTTATCGAAGACTCAGGGTGAACATAAAAGATTGTTGTGACTTTAAGGATGTGACATGCTGTAATTGACTGATAAATTAATGAAATGTGTGTGTGTGTGTGTGTGTGTGTGTGTGTTTTAAATGACCTTCTAAGGTTCTACAAGGCATAAAAAACCTAGAGGCTGGTCTTATTTAATGCCTGAGGACATTTTTCATCAATCTTGGTAACCTCTAATTTCTTCCTTTCAGATCTTACACCACTTTGCTTTTAAAAGCGATTGCATTTAAATTTTGTCTGTTAAGAGTGGTATATGTGAGTAAGTTTGAACTTCGCCATTTGAGTTGACTGAAATATGGATTTGTTTACGTATGTTATATGCCCATTATGATTTTATTTGTATAAGCATATAATAACTTTTAGCCAAGTACAGTCAGTCAAGGCTGAAATTATTCATAACCCTGGGGTGTGAATAATTTAGCATTGAGTTGAGAAAGGATTAATAACAAAAAACGATCAGCTCTTGAGCCTGACCTTAACAGCAATCTGGAGAGCTTACTGTTGATGTGCTCAGTCTCCCCATCTTTTTACTTCTTTTTTTAGTGTTTTTAAGGTATTTTGTACTCGAACACGAACTACTTTTTAACCCTAGTAAAAATCAGTTGGGGCGACATGGTGGTTCAGTGGTTAGCACTGTCGACGCACAACAAGGTCGCTGATTCGAGTCTCGGCTAGACCAGTTTGCATTTCTGTGTTGAGATTTCATATTCTTCTTGTGTTTATGGGTTTGACATACGCTGCATAAGTTGGCGGTTCATTCCGCTGTGGTGACCCTTGATGAATAAAGGGACTAAGCTGAAGGAAAATAAATTAATGATTGAATTTAAATAGGTCTCAGTAGAGCTGTGGCAAAAAAAAAAAAAATTGAGGAAATGATACTGCATCAATTCTTACGTTTTCTAAATGCATCACAATTTTTTTTTAATCGATTATGAGTTTTTTTATGAGTTATTTTTTTAACAGCACTAAGCTAGTTTTTAACTATACACTCAAATGCTTATAAGAGAGTTCTTTTGCATTCGCCTGAGTGTCATGTAAGGTGACTTTAATATCGAGAGATTAATGAAAACACAGCTCATTATGAAAACTCTTGTAATTTTGTTTTATACGTGATTATTTTAGGTTCATGTGATATTTGCTAGGAATTGGATGCAAGCAGAGTATTGCTCTTTGTAAAGCATACAGTATCATCTGCTGTAAAAACCTTTAAGCTCCGAATCCATTAAAGAGATTCATTTTAAAATTGCAGAAATGATTTCTCAAGCGTGTTTTTTGTTTTTGTGCCACAGCTCTAGTTTTCATTCATTCATTCATTTTCCTATGGCTTAGTCCCTTATATATCAGAGGTCACCACAGTGGAATGAATCGCCAACTATTCCGGCTTATGTTTTACACAGTAGATGCCCTTCCAGCTGCAACCTAGTACTGGGAAACCCACACCTGGGGGAAAACCACACGAACACGGGGAGAACATGCAAACTCCACACAGAAATGCCAACTGGCCCAGCCGTGACTCGAACCAGTGACCTTCTTTCTGTGAGGCAACATTGCTTACAACTGAGCCACCACGCCACCCTCTCTAGTTTTCAGTAAAATGCAAATATGTTTTCTTTATTTACGCTATGCTCTTATCCTTTACCTGTTGGCATCTGTTGTGGCTAAATGTTGTTACAAAAATACGGTAGTCAATGTTTAAAGTGGATCAAAAAGGTTTTTCAAAATTGTTCTAAGGCAAGAATGAGTGAAGTTCAATAGTTTCAGGACAACTTTGATGAAAAGTTTTGAACCACTTCAAATGTTGACTACTGTATATGTCATGAAAGAGTTTTCATTTCATCTAAAAATGACAACGTAAGCCAGAATGTTGCCTCCTTTTAAAAGCGAGGGTGATGTAATGTTAAGTGTAATTTCATGGACCCTTTTAAGACAACTGTTAATTACCATTTACATCAAATTACAAAACACAAATTATCGTTTAGAGTGAAGCAGTGGCGCAGTAGGAAGTGCTGTCGCCTCACAGCAAGAAGTTCGCTGGGTTGCTGGTTCCAGTCTCGGCTCAGTTGGTGTTTTTGTGTGGAGTTTGCATGTTCTCCCTACGTTTGCATTGGTTTCCTCAGGGTGCTCCGGTTTCCCCCACAGCCCAAACACATGCGGTGAAGGTGAATTGGGTAGGGTAAATTGTCCATAGTGTATGAGTGTGTGTGTGTGTGTGTGTGTGTGTGTGTGTGTGTGTGGGCATCCACTGCGTATAAACTTGCTGAAAAAGTTGGCGGTTCATTCCGCTGTGGCGACCCCGGATTGATAAAGGGACTAAGCCGACAAGAAATTAATTGAATGAATGAATTAACTATTGTTTATGTAAGGTGTTTCCAATGCAGTGTCAATGGGCAGGACAGTAAGTTTGACATTCTTACTCTCTTCTGTCTGCCGTTATCAGACTCACCCATTTTTTTTCTTTTTCTGAAAGACTTAACACCATCATGAAGTTTTTCCTTATTATTTCAGCAAATATGATGGTAAAAATATTCTTTTTGTTCTCTCCCATTCACTTTGGTCTAAGTTTACTTAACTATGACGACTTCTGCTACAGAGAAATCCAGGAATGTAAAAAGGGTTCATCTTGTTCTATTCTATTCTATTCTATTCTATTCTATTCTATTCTATTTTGCTTTTCCAGTGAAAAAGTGCTGGGGATGATTTCTGTTGTGTAGTGTGGGGAACATGTGCCACCCATGGTGTAAGCACTCAGTGAATCAGGACCAAAAACATTACTACAAACCGAACCGAGCTACACCTTTAATCCTACTTTGCCATCATGGACAGCTAGGACACAAAAAGAAAAACAACTGAACAAAAGGTTGTTTCCCTGCGTCTAATTTCGGCAAAATGTTTGTCAATTACTGTGTGAAATTGCTAGTTGTTGTTTTGAGATATGGTTGCATGATGAAGGATACTCTGTGAGCAGGAGCTTGCCTTTCATTTTTCTATTTTCTGTTTCACTGCTTTCTCCAGTTTGCCAGACCTGAAAATTAGCATTGTCGACATCAATTCCCTGATACTACCCTCAGCTTCACCGCTGTACGTCCATGAGCTTTCAAAGCCTGGAAGATTACATTGATATACAAGTTAGCATTCTTTTTTCTCATCAATATCATTCAAATTACTTGCATTTTGATGCCAGGCTGTCAAAGCGAGTAACCTCCATAATCACTCACTTCATCAGTCCGACGGCGTTTCTCTTCCTCTCTGCCGGTCTTAAGTCGATATGTGTAGATGTCTGTACACTTTTGAAGGATTCCACCTCCGCAAATAAGCTTCCAGGCTCAGAGAGAAGTTCATCGGAGACAAATGGTGCACATTTCACAGGTAGGCCTTTGCAACCGCTGTGATTTGTTTCATTGCTAATGGGGGCTGAAGTTCCGGAGCCCCAGGCCATTTGCTTTTTGGAGTGGCAGTCGGAGCGAGAACAGCCAGCATCTCTTAACAGCTTTAAAAAAAGATAAAAAAAGAAAAGAACCAAGTGAGTTCTTGGGCTTCCAGAAGACTTTCTCTTTACCTCTTCTCATTACCATACACAGGCTCTACAGACAGAATCTCTAATGTCCACAGGGTGCTTAATGCACCACAGAGGTGACTGCTGAAACTGCCTAATTGGCCGCCCTGGCAAAGCCATATGGAAGATACCTGGGTGATTGACAGAGGCCGTGGAGAAAAGGAGATCCCAAGTGGAAGGCTGGATTGTCCTGGCTCCTTTTTAATCATGTCGTTCAGCATCGTCGATAAGAGATGTTCTGAGATTAGAGTTCAAGGAGGACGGCCTTGGGCTGTGACTGTGGGATTTACTCAACATGTGCTTGGGATGACTGAATCAGTATTCAGTAAGGAGGAGCAGAAGGTTACAGCTGAAGACTGTTTGGTATGCAGATCACATTTTTTATCTAGAGTAATGATGTGGAGACTTGTGGCTTTAGCATGGTGTTTACCGCTGCACGAGTTTTGTAATTTATGAAGCTGATAATTCTGGTTCTTGATTCTGATTGGCTGAGCCAGGCTTGAAGCTGTTGTAAATTACTTTACAAGCATACACCTGTGGCCTCATTACATCACTATTACATCAGCCACTGCGCTACTATGGATACATATATTATGTATTTCAGCTAAATTAACTGTTTTAAAAAATATTTTAATGATTTATGAGTATCCTCTGCTTACGTTATGTCAAAGAAAGTATTCTTATGCGAGAGATGCGTTGGATGTGAAATCCCAGTTTCCATGGTGCAATATATTTTCTGTTTCAGGTATATTAAAGTACATTCATCAAGTTAGAGTGTTTAATAAAGCTTCTTATAGGTGAACTCGCACTATGCTCTGAATCAGTATGGTGTGGTAGAGATAATCAGATGGACATGTGGGAGGAAATATCATATAAAGTGCTAATAAATAAATAAAAAAACAGACTTGTTCTATTTGAGCTTCATAAGATGAAGCTTGTTACAGCTAGGATCATTCTGTTGCCATTTATTGGCACTGTCAGAAACTGTTCTAGTGGAAGGATTGCATTTAATGTTTCATATTTTAGAAAAGTAACATTAACATATTTCTGCCTTTTTAGTATACAGTATGTATTGTGTGGGGTATCCATTCTATATAAGCAATAGGCCCTCTGACGTGAATATAGAACAGCTAAGGGGCCTTAGGCACTTACGGTCATGTCTAACCTCTGCTTGACAAGCTGTTCTAAATTCAGGTTGGGTATCATTTGATTTATCATTGATTCTATTCATGATTCTGCTTCTCCATTCTTTTTGTAGAACAGTTTCGATTCCAGTGTGGTGAAAAAGTCAAATTTTATAAATCACACACTTGTTGACTTGTGCAGGGCTTATGAATGGCTTGCCTGAGCTGTTGACTATAGCACAGGATAGCACTCACACTTTATATTATTTAGATCCCTTAACAGGAATCAGAATATGTAATTGTGATGAACAAATTACATTCAAGTGTATAATAGTATGCGAATTCAAATGTTTTAATCAAATACATAAACCCTATTCTATATTATGTGTATGGGAAACAATAAGCAGAATCAATTTTCATTTGGGAATAAAAATCCATTTTCTAAATTTTGGATTTCTGAATATGAACTGATTTTTGATTCCTATGTACACTAACTTTTTGGGTATCAGTAAAATCCAATTTAAAAAAAACATGCTGTAAATATTGTGAGATATAATAACTATCAAAAGATTCAAAGTAAATCGGCACACTGCCACTTTAGCTCTCAAAAAATTTTATTTAGT